TCATTCTTGCTTGAAAGGAACCATGTGGATTGAGAAATTGCAGGTAGAAATAACAGAGACATAGAAGAAACAAATATAAGATAGAATCATGAGAACTGTCAGCGAGTACTATAGCCTCAAGTTTATTTTTCATAACCATTTTATACCTTAAACCCAAGGAGAGGGCAAAAATATTTTTTTTTATCCTGATACAAGGAACAAACAAGAGTTCAAAATATTGAGGAGCAAAACATCCAGTGGCTACACCTCAAGCCAAGCTTCCTGTTATCTAGGAAAGACATATGGTAACTTCACTTTAGGCCTGTTGTTTGACTTAAAGGAGCTAAACAAGTTTGAACTCTCTAACCCTAAGTCAAGATGGAGTGGACTCACTTCTATGGGCTCCCACAACATGCTAATAAATCAGATCAGAAAAGGAAGAATATAAACTATTAGCTTGATTAGAACAAAGGCAAAGTGGGAGGCATACCAAGGTTGAGTACTGAGTGACCACTCTAGTTAGACATTAAGGCCAATGGGGTGATCTGATATCTCAGTATATTGTTGAGGCTGACTCCTTATTGATAATATGTGCAGAGATTCATCTACCAGCCAGTTCCTCCAGAGATTATGCTGAACAAGCATAAAATATGTGAACATATGAACTCATTTGTCTCCATTTCAAAAACCATGGAAAAGTCCATCTCACCAGTGCCTGCTTTTAAGTAGGAGCAGGAAGATGGCCTATTTTCCTGCTTAGCAGCACTTGACAAGGCCAGGTGTGACCCAAAGAGTTGCAATTTGCTTACAATCTGCCACACACCATGCCTGGCTCAGTGTCATCAACCACCTGACCCTACTGTCACCACTCTAGATACTTGAGTTTCACCTCCAGTATTAGATCTGTTTTGTTTTGTCTGAGACAGGGACTTGATGTGTACTGAACTAGATGATTTTGAAGAGTTTACTATTAAAACTTATAGGACGTACTTTAAAGTAATATATAATGTAAAGTTATGTTTACTGACTTACACTAATTTGAAATATATATTTTTAATGGAAAAAAGAATTCTGTGTATTAATAGAAAATCTTCTACCTTGAAGTAGCTGTAGCTGCTCTCTGTGTCCCTCAAGTGCGATTAGGATGCAGTGGCCACTCAAGAATGAGTATGGAAAGGTGAGAAGCAGAGAGGAAGATTGGAGTGAGAAACTGGACTGGCACTACCTTCGATGGATGGCTTAGGAGGCTGTCAGCATGTAGTCTTCCTCCTCAAACCCATGACGGCAGTCTAGTCATGAGACCACCACCAAGTCACAGCAGAGCAATACTCCTCCAAACTAAGAAACTCATAAAAGAGCAGTAAATTCTGAGACAACAGTAACCAAGGGAATCCTAAAGAGACACATAACAAGAAAATAGTCTGTCATAAATGGGAACCTAGAACAGAAAAGGGATGTCATGGAAATCTGAGGCAATCTGAGTGACATGTGGGTTTTAATAAAAGTGTGCCAATGCTGATGCCATGGATTCTAGTAAATATACTAAAGAAATGTGAGCTACTTAAGACAGAAAAGAGATTCATGGAGACCTGCATGATCCTGCCAGAAGAAAATGTGTGTCAATGTGTAGACACATCTACAGTCTCAGGGAAAGGTCTGAAGTCTAAAGACCTCGGTGAGGTCCCCACTCCTCGTCCATGCTCTACCTGAATCACTGGGCTCCATCATTGCTCAAGCTTTGCACCTATCAGGTCCACAATTCAATCTCCTCACAGAGAAAAGCCTGTGGCTTCAGCCTGGGGAGGAATTCATCAGGCCCAAGGGCCGGAGGCAGAATGATCACACTTGTACCTGAGCTTGTGTGTGTGGTTAGCCATTACCACAGAGAAGAGCTGTGGACCCTGAAGGCCCCTTGCATCTCAGGTGCTTAGAATGCACCAGAAGAGAGGGTTGTGGGGTGCAATGGCACACCTGTGACCCACCACAGGGGCAGAGATGGCACACCTGTGACCCACCACAGGCGGCTGAGATGGCACACCTGTGACCCACCACAGGGGCCTGAGATGGCACACCTGTGACCCACCACAGGGGGCTGAGATAGAGGAGTGTGACCTTGGAGGCCTACCTTGACTTCAAAGAGTGACTGTATTTCAAACCCAATCAAACCAAGCAACAAAGATTAATTCTTATTTTTTTAAATTTCTATTGTTTTTTTAAAAGTGTATTTTCTCATTTTACATAACAATCCCAGTTCCCACTCCTTCCCCAGTTCCCGCTCCCTCCCCTTCCCCCACTCCCTTTGACGCCTCCCACCCCATTCACTCCTTAGAGAGACTAAGGCTTCCCATGGGGAATTAATAACATCTTGCACATTGCTTTGAGGCAAGACCAAGGTCTTCCCCACTTTATCTAGGCCGAACAAGGTATCCCTCCAAGAAAAATGGGTTCCCAAAAAGCAAGTACAAGCAGTAGGGATAAATCCTGGTCTCACTGACAGTGGCCCCACAGTCTGCCCCAGGCATACAACATCACCCACATTCAGAGGATCTGGTTTGCTCCTATGCTGTTCCCCCACCGTCAGGCTCAAGTCAGTGGACAGATGACAACAAAGATTAAAAGGAAGGCTTTATTGACAAGTCTTTCTTCCTCACACTTGAGGCTGGACATCCAAAACCAGAGAGTATCTTAGTCACTTTTGCCAACTAGAAAGCCTGCGGGCTGGCTGGGAATCTCTATACATTGTATGAAATAAAAACACTATACACTGTTTCCTATAAAGATGAATTAGATGCCACATATCCTCACCACGACTTTTAATCAGTGTGCATTTTATTTAAAATAAAATGAAACTTGTGTCAAATGGGGGAAATCTGAAGTGTTCACTGCTACGCAGCATGGCAGTGGTCTTGCTAAGCCAAATGCAGAGCAGATAGGAGACAACAGGGAGGGTTAATGATTTAAAGCTGTGTCAGCCCCTCTGACCTCTGCTAGCCTGTGAAGTGAGTGAACCAGCACAACTTAGGGAAGGCACCTTCCTCAAGATATCTCATTTGCATTGTTGGAGGTTGTTATCATACACTGCTTTGATTAGAATGAGAAACTTCACCAACATCTTTGAGGAATTTGTCGCAATAAAAGAACAAATGTGTGATCTGTGAAGGTAGCAGGGCCCGTGCAGAACAGAAACATCATGGCCCTGGCTCTGACTCTGGGTGTCAGGCTCTGAGGAGCAGCAGTTTTGGCAATCTCAAGCCCTTCACACCTCACCATACATACTTCTCCCCATACAGGGAACTTTCAAACTATTATGGTAATTGCTAGTTTGTTTATCTTGGAATAAAGACTCCAATTCCTGGCAGAATCCTAGAACTGCAGTTTCCTCAGCCAGAACGAAGGGAATCATGACACCCACCACACAGGAAAGCAAAGCATAGTGCCCGAAAGGCAAGAGTCCTCCATGGGTGTTTGGTTGGTATTTCTTCTTGGCTTGACGGACAGGACACTGGGACTCTCGGTGCAGGTCAGGATTCCTGACAATGGAAGCACCTGTAGGTGCACAACTTTGTCTTTCCATATGTTGGGAAGGTTCTCACTTGTCTGACCTTACTCAGTAAAGGCAGAACCAAATATCACATAGCCTCTGTCCCCTCCATCTAATGTGCCTTCCATAATCTAAATGTGCCTTCTACAGTCTGTCAATTATCAGTGAACACAGTTCATCACAGACATGGCCACAAACCAATCTGATCTAGCAGCCCCTGAGTTGACACTTTTTCAAATGACTCTAGACTGTGTCAACTGGCAGCTGAAGTTAACTAAGATAATACCCTAAGTCAGCTTTATTATATACTATACTGACTACCATGAATAAATGTAAATTCTGTGTGTGTGTGTGTGTGTGTGTGTGTGTGCTGTTTGAAACATGGTTTTATTCTGTAGTGTAGGCAGACCTCAAACTAAGAATCAGAAGTTTAAATACTGAAAACAGAAAACATTGGTTAAGGTTTGAGCTAAAGTGTCCCCCACCTACCTACCACAGGCTCTTGCTGTGAACACTCAGCTCCTTCCTCACAGCTTGTGACAAGAAGATTGTGGTGCTTGTGGGAGGTAGGGTCCAACTAGTAGGGAAGGTCACCAGAAGTGGACCTTTGTAAGTCACACCTCTGCATCTGATGTGCTCTTTCTGCTTCCTAGTCTGTCACTAAACACCAGCTGACACCACAAGCTTCCATCACCACTGTGGCCATTCTGCCATGCCTTCCATGCCATGAAAGACTGAAATTCTTTGAAACCTTGACACAAAATCAATCTTTCCTCTCTGGAATGGCTCAGGCCTTCAGCCACTATGATGCAAAGATGAGAAACACAGAGCAAGCTGAAGAGGTTGGGCAACCTCTGTTGCCGGGAGAGGGAATTAGTCTGTATCAGGCAGGGAAGGCTTTACTACCAACTTTCCAGTCACACACCAAGAGGGAGTCTGTTCTTGTTTCTGGAGAAAGAGAGTGAGACACGGCCATGAACTCAAGGGAGAAAAATTGTTGGGACAGAGTACTTTTGGAAGTACCTGAGAGAGGACATTCTCTCTGGGATTGACCATGAAACCTTCTAGGCAAAAGTGAACTGGATGTGTTTAGAGGACAGTGACGATGTTAGGAACCAGGAAAGACTCTGGTGGGGAAGGGCCACCACAGTGTGGTGACCTACATTGGCAGCTTGAGAAATATGGGCTGTGGGAGATTTTTTAGCTTGAGAGGAAAGCTATCATTTTAGGAAAATTAACGTATTGAAGAGGGAAAAGAAAAGAAAAGGAAGGAATGAAGAATGGAAGGGTTTGAAAGTGAAATAGTTGAAAGTTTGTTTTTTAATTTTATATTTTTTATAATGAAACAAGAATGATCATTTTAAAGGGATTCCTAATGGGAAACAAGACTAGACAGTGACCACACTCAAACCATTGCATCTCCTGCACACGCATTCAGTGATCACACTCAAACCATTGCATCTCCTGCATACACATTCAGTGATCACACTCAAACCATTGCATCTCCTGCATACACATTCAGTGATCACACTCAAACCATTGCATCTCCTGCATACGCATTCAGTGATCACACTCAAACCATTGCATCTCCTGCATACGCATTCAGTGATCACACTCAAACCATTGCATCTCCTGCATACGCATTCAGTGATCACACTAAAACCATTGCATCTCATGCATACGCATTCAGTGATCACACACAAACCATTGCATATCCTGCACACACATTCAGTGATCACACACAAACCATTGCATCTCCTGCATACGCATTCAGTGATCACACTAAAACCATTGCATCTCCTGCATACGCATTCAGTGATCACACTCAAACCATTGCATCTCCTGCATACGCATTCAGTGATCACACTCAAACCATTGCATCTCCTGCATACGCATTCAGTGATCACACTCAAACCATTGCATCTCCTGCATACGCATTCAGTGATCACACACAAACCATTGCATCTCCTGCACACACATTCAGTGATCACATACAAACCATTGCATCTCCTGCATACGCATTCAGTGATCACACTCAAACTATTGCATCTCCTGCACACACATTCAGTGATCACACTCAAACCACTGCATCTCCTGCATATGCACTCAGTGATCACACTCAAACCATTGCGTCTCCTGCACACACATTCAGTGATCACACTCAAACCATTGCATCTCCTGCACACACATTCAGTGATCACACTCAAACCATTGCATCTCCTGCACACACATTCAGTGATCACACTCAAACCATTGCATCTCCTGCATACGCATTCAGTGATCACACTCAAACCATTGCATCTCCTGCATATGCATTCAGTGATCACACTCAAACTATTGCATCTCCTGCACACACATTCAGTGATCACACTCAAACCATTGCATCTCCTGCACACGCATTCAGTGATCACACTCAAACCATTGCATCTCCTGCACACGCATTCAGTGATCACACTCAAACCATTGCATCTCCTGCACACACATTCAGTGATCACACTCAAACCATTGCATCTCCTGCATACGCATTCAGTGATCACACTCAAACCATTGCATCTCCTGCATACGCATTCAGTGATCACACTCAAACCATTGCATCTCCTGCACACACATTCAGTGATCACACTCAAACCATTGCATCTCCTGCACACACATTCAGTGATCACACTCAAACCATTGCATCTCCTGCATACGCATTCAGTGATCACACTCAAACCATTGCATCTCCTGCACACACATTCAGTGATCACACTCAAACTATTGCATCTCCTGCACACACATTCAGTGATCACACTCAAACCATTGCATCTCCTGCATTCGCATTCAGTGATCACACTCAAACCATTGCATCTCCTGCATACGCATTCAGTGATCACACTCAAACTATTGCATCTCCTGCACACACATTCAGTGATCACACTCAAACCATTGCATCTCCTGCACACGCATTCAGTGATCACACTCAAACCATTGCATCTCTTGCACACGCATTCAGTGATCACACTCAAACCATTGCATCTCCTGCATATGCATTCAGTGATCACACTCAAACCATTGCATCTCCTGCATACGCATTCAGTGATCACACTCAAACCATTGCATCTCCTGCATACGCATTCAGTGATCACACTCAAACTATTGCATCTCCCGCACACACATTCAGTGATCACTCTCAAACCACTGCATCTCCTGCATATGCACTCAGTGATCACACTCAAACCATTGCGTCTCCTGCACACACATTCAGTGATCACACTCAAACCATTGCATCTCCTGCACACACATTCAGTGATCACACTCAAACCATTGCATCTCCTGCACACACATTCAGTGATCACACTCAAACCATTGCATCTCCTGCATACGCATTCAGTGATCACACTCAAACCATTGCATCTCCTGCATACGCATTCAGTGATCACACTCAAACTATTGCATCTCCTGCACACACATTCAGTGATCACACTCAAACCATTGCATCTCCTGCACACGCATTCAGTGATCACACTCAAACCATTGCATCTCTTGCACACGCATTCAGTGATCACACTCAAACCATTGCATCTCCTGCACACACATTCAGTGATCACACTCAAACCATTGCATCTCCTGCATACGCATTCAGTGATCACACTCAAACCATTGCATCTCCTGCATACGCATTCAGTGATCACACTCAAACTATTGCATCTCCTGCACACACATTCAGTGATCACACTCAAACCATTGCATCTCCTGCACATGCATTCAGTGATCACACTCAAACCATTGCATCTCTTGCACACGCATTCAGTGATCACACTCAAACCATTGCATCTCCTGCATACGCATTCAGTGATCACACTCAAACCATTGCATCTCCTGCATACACATTCTTGCTCTACAAAAGCCTGAAAATTAAGCTAAGAAAGGCAAAAATCCCTTCAGCAGATATGAAAAAAGAAAAACTATGAATTTCACATAATAATTCAATTCTATTTATGTCAATCAACTGAGAGTAGAGTGGGTAGGTGTGGGCTTAAAAGGACCTACAAATGGAAAAGATCTCCTTACTCTGGGTTTAGAGTCTCTTGCAAGAATTTCCAAGCCACCTACGACAGGACAATAATCTATTTTGTTCTGATAAATATTATGATATCATTAAACACATTTACAATCAAACCATATTGAGCCTTGTCCTAACCCCTATATCTAAGGGTCCTTTTATCTTTTTGAAATTTTTATCTTACCTGTCTGTAAACCTATATAAGTCACAGCTCAGAGATCACCTTACTAGAACATTCACTACATGGAAGCTCAGTGGATAAACAAGGAACTAGGACATGTTACTTTGAACATTGTGGCTAAAGAGCCACCTAAATCATATATGTAGATAGCTATTTTTAAGACACTTAAATATGACATTTGTCTTAATTTTTACTTTTTATAATTATTTATATATGTAGTGTGGAGAGAGAGAAAGACAGAGAGAGAGAGAGAGAGAGAGAGAGAGAGAGAGCATTGCTGTAGCATGTATGTAATTTATATAGAGGTCACAGGACAACTCAGCCAGGTGGCTCTCTCCTTCCAACACTTGAGGTAAACCCCAGGATCACCTCAGGCTGTCAGGCCTGGTGGACCCCCAGGATCACCTCGGGTTGCCAGGCCTGGTGACAAGCCCTTTACTCCCAAGCCCCCTCACAGACCCAAACAAGACATTCCTGAGAAGTCAGTGCTAACTTCCTCTCACTCTCTCACCATAGTTAAGTCTGTATGAGATCTTTTCCTTGATAAATCCAAATGTTGGTTCATGCTGACTCATTGGCTTCTCCTACAGTTCTGTTCTGCCGTGTGCGGAGATTCTGGCCTCAGCTGCACCGGGGACTCTGAAATGAACCCATCAGCCTGTAGCAGCTGCAGCTCACTGCCACAAACAGGAAAAGTCGGTGACCCATGTTTACCCACCTCTGTATGTGATCTCACAGTTTCCTTCTACCCTTGTTTTTCCACCATGGAATCCCCACCAAAACTAGCATTTCATTTTGCCATACATAAACCACAAGCATGAGAAGCACTGCTGCTTTCAAAATTATGAAATAACCAGGAGGCAACTAATAAAATTCAGGCTCCAGTACTGGAACCGCAGCAGCCTGGCTTGCTGGGTCCAATGTCAGGGCACTACATTCCACCTTTATCAGTCCTGGGGTTGCGATACTAGGACTTGGATTTAAATGTGGTAAATTCACACCATGATGGTGAGGATACTCCATGAACAAAACAGGAAAAAAGGCAGGAAATCCCTTCTTCACCATTTCTCTGGGATAGCGGCTGCATTTCCCTCTTAGACAGCTATGAGGATCCAACAGTAATGTAGTTGTTGTAATATGAATGTCTGTGTCCCCCTTCCAATTTTCACACTGGCATTTTATGAAAGGTGAGCGTATTGAGGAATAGAGATGCTTTGGAGGTTATAAGTCTTGGGAATCTTCTGAAAGATGCTCTGGATGATTGATTTGTCCCTGCAGCCATGCAACTGGAAAATGTCATCTATGAACCAGGGCACAAGTCTTTCCCAGATACCAAGCCTGTCAGGCCCCTCAGTCTTAAACATCCTAGTTTCCAGAACTGTGGTAAATTAATTCCTGCTGCTTACTCTTCTTTGTGTATGAGTGTGTGTGTGTTTATATGTATCTCTGTGTTTGTGTCTGTGCGTGTATACACACATGTATATGCATGCTGTATAAGGGAGAAGAGGGTGTCTGAGCTCCTGGAGCTGGAGTTACAGATATTTGTAACCTGCTCAACATGGGTTCTGAGAACTGAGCCTGGGTCTTCTGCAGGAGTAGTAAGTACTCCTAAATGCTGGGCCATTCTTTGCAGCTCCATTTCTGTTGCTTATAAGCTAGCTAGTTTTTGATCTTTTGTTGTAGCACCATGAAAGGTTTTAGACAATAGCAAACACATATGTACCAGGAATGACTGTAAATAACTGGTTCATGATTTACCTCAACATTTATTACTCTGTAATAGTAGTCATAGTAGTGTTATGGTCTTCTTTCACAATCCAATGGAGTCTCAAAATAAAAAATTCAGATGCATAAAATAGAATATATGAGTATATATTGCTGTGATAAAATTCCAAGACAAAGGCAACTTATAGAAGAAAGAGTTTATTTTACTTATGGTTCCAGAGGGCTAGACTTTGTTATAATGTGGAATGTGACAGCAGGCAGGCATGGTGAGAGCAGCAAGCTGAGCACTCAAATCTTGAATCACAAGCACAGAGCAGAAAGAGTATACTACAAATGACATGAGTCTTTAACTCTCAAAACCCACATCCAGAGACAGACTTCCTGCAGGGAGGTCACATCTCCTAAGTCTTCCCAAACATTACCACCAACTGAGGATCAAACATTTAAATGCCAAAGAGTATGGGGGGTGGGGACATTTCTCATTCAAACCGCTACAGGATGTGGTATCAAGGAAAAAAAAATATAATCAGACTGTGGACAAAACGTTTAAAAGTATATGATAATGAAGGTATTTATTTTCAAACTTCAGATCTTACTTTGTTTCATTTGTGTTTTCATTTGGGGGATTTTGTTTGTTTGTTGAAGATAAGGCCTCACTGTATAACTCTGGCTCGCCTGGAACTCACTGTGTAGACCAGGCTGGACTCATATTCACAGAGCTCCCCTTGCTTCCTTAAGTGCTGAGAGTAAAGGTGTGTACCATTCCTCCCAGCTAAATTTCCAGACTTTAGAGAGCATTTAAGAAATAAGACAGAAGTTTGTATGCATTCATGGGTGCAACAGTGTATCTGGGGTGGGCTCCATCCTTGTTATCTTTGTTTTTCATAAGCACACTGTGTTTGTTCTAAAGTTCTAATTCAGTGATTGCCCTATTGTTTTCTATTGCATTGGGTTGAACAATTTCCTCTTACAGTATTCTGTTGTCTTTGTGGTATGTGTTGATGTATGCTTGTTATCTTAGCATTTAAAAGACAGAGATGAAAGGATTGCAAGTTAAAGTCCAATCTTATATCAAAATCTTGCCTCAAAAAATAAAACAATAAAACTATATTTTACTTAAAAAACAATTTCTCATGTTCAGTCTTAAAACACTCTAGCCACACAGGAGTTTGAGTAGGCTGATTTTTTTTAAATTTAAAGGTGTTTCTTTAAAAATGTGTCATATATACACAATAGACTTTTGTGAGCCATAAAGAAGAATAAAATTTTGTTGTTTGTAAGAAAATGAGTGAGATGCAGATGCTGATGTTTGTTGTGGACCATTACTTGAAATAGGCAAAGATGTGCTACATTTGTTTATGCTGCATTTGTCTAAATATGTAAAGATGTGTTGCATTTGTTCACCTTGCCTGCCCAAGCACCTGATTGATCTAATAAAAAGCTGAACAGCTAATAGCTAGGCAGTAGATGGATAGACAGGGTTAGTGGGCGGAGAATAGGTAGAAAGAAGAATTTAGGCTCGCAGGAGAAGAGAGGGGAGAATGAGGGAGAAAGAAAGGGACATACCTGGGGCCAACTGAGCCAGACAGCAGACACTGAGTAGGCAGTGAAAGTAGGACATACAGAATGAAAGACAGGTAAAAAGCCCTGAGGCAAAACATAAATGAAGAGAAACAAGTTAATTTAAGTTCTAAAAAAAAGCTAGCAAGAAGCAAGTATAAGATAAGGCCGAGCATTCATAACTAATAATAAGTTTCTATATCATAATTTGGGAGCTGGTTGGTGACCCAAAAGAAAGTATGCTACAGATGTTAGCTAAGATAAAAAACACATAGAAAGACAAATCTAACATGATTTTTCTAATGCATGGAATCTACATTTTCAAAAAAGATATGAAAGGAAGAGGGCACTATTCAAGAAAAAAAAAGTAAAGGGGGCTAGAGAGGCTATGAGGGCTAATCCCATGCTTGTGAAGGGACTAGAGAGGATGTGAGGGCTAATCCTATGCTTGTGAAGGGGGCTAGAGAGGATGTGAGGGCTAATCCCATGCTTGTGAAGGGGGCTAGAGAGGATGTGAGGGCTAATCCCATGCTTGTGCAACAAACATTCTATTCACTGACCCCCAAAGCCACGGCCATGGTGATGCACACCTGTAATCTCAGGAGGCAGAGGCAGGGATATCTCTGTGAGTCTACGAAGTGAGTTCCAGGACAGCTAGAGCTATATAGTGAGACCCGATTTCAAAAAAAGTTAGTACATTATTTATGCATGTGTTTGTGCATGGGTGTATGTATGCCATGGTATTCATGTGGAAGTCAGGGGACAAGTTGTAGGAGTCAGTTTTTTCTTTTGTCATGTGAGCTCTGGGGACCAAACTCAAATGATCCCTCTTAGCAACAAGTACCTTTACCCACTGAACCATATTTCTAGCCCCCAAAACCTGTTCTTAGCCATATAATATAAAATTTAGCACGGAGCTGGCCACGTGGCCACTAACTATCAGTTGAAAGCAGTACTGAAATAAATAATAGAAACATCGGTAGCAGAAATACAGATTGAAATAAATAATAGAAACATCAGTAGCAGAAATACAGAGAATAAAGAATGGTCTCTACTAGCATTAGTAACATATTTACACAGAACATTCTGGGATGTAGCAATAAAGTTAATTATACAGAACATAATGGGCTCATTCCTCTAGACCTCTGAGGCAACATGAACTTACAGTTTTCCTCATGTGATTGACATTGTGAAAGGGAACACCAAAGGCTATTGGTAAGTGGTATACTGTGTGGAAGTGTTCTTGAGTCTGTTAAAAATCCCTATTCTCATTTTTATAATCTCATACTGATATTGCTATGTTTCTTTCTGTCCTGCCTCTGCCACCAAAAGACCCATAGGATAGAAACCAGCTCAGCAGAATGAAAACGGCCACTGTTGCCCTGAAGAGTGGAGCTGCTCGGAGTAACTGCCGCTGCTGGTTTTCATTCCTCTCATTTCTG